CAATGCACTTTTAACAAGAAAAAAAAATTTATCAACAAAATAACACTTCATTTGTTTCACTTTTCTTTTTGTTATTTTTCTTTTAAACTGTCAACAAATTTTGTGCTTTGTTATTTGGTTGATATTAAAATGTTTGTCAAATGAGATTTTTTTTCCATCCCTAAGAATTTGTCAGCCAACCAACTTTAAATTATCAAACTTTATTGGTCTTCAAGAAATTGATCCGTCATTTTCTCAGATTTCCAAAACAATGGTAAACTGCTGTTCTTTTTAATGGTTTTATTGCAGCCATTAATTTAAACAATAACTGTTTTAAAATTTTGTTTATTTTTCAAGCAATAAATAAAAAAAAATATATTAACTGTAATAATAAAAATTTCTAAGTGTTAGGCGACAAAAATCAAAAACAACAACAACAACAGCAATAAAAAAAAACTAAAACCTGTACATTAAATGAAAAACAGTCACTCAATCAGCAATGCAATGACGTCTACCTAACCAATGGCTTCCATCTGTCTGTGCAAGAAAAAAGTTAAAAAGAAAGAAAACGAACAAGTCAAATAATACAGAAATTTTTGCATTTTTTCTACAGCTATAACAGCGTATTAAAGTTGATGATGAATTTTTCATCAGAAACCGTAAAAAAAAAATGAAAAAAAAAATAATCCGACGACAGTTAACTGTTTGAAACAGTCCTGAACAGATCTGATCGATCATACCCAAGTTAAGTCGGCCGGCTTCCCCGACCCTTCCCACCTTCTCCCAAACCTTCCCGCCTAACCCTTCTGTCCCTCCTAAAATTATTCAGAAGTTGGGGAAAAAAGTTTTCCGCTTGTCTATATACCAACAAGTGTCAATGTCGTCAATTTTCGATGATACACGATTCAGCAGCAACGGTGGCAGCAACAGCATTTCTTTTGAACGCCTTTGTTTAACGTCAACAAAACATACATGATATATGTATATTTTCGTAATTTCTTATCACTATTTCGTTTACTATTGTAAAGTGCAAAAAATCTTAAATAAATACATTTTGTTCTTTCACTTTCTTTTTCTATTCTATTGCTTTTATTCTTCGTTCTTTCGCAGACAAAATTTGAAAAGAGAAAAAAGAGTATCCTGATTAAAATCTAATGAATATTTTGAGAAAAAAACCAAATTTACAACATAGCCAATATGCCGATATATTAAAAGGCGTTTAATATTCATTCGTTTTTTAAGAAAATAACATGAAAATACGTGAAAATTCATGTTTTGAAAGAACAACGGTAAAATGCGGAGGGGGGCGGAGGAGGCTGACAAAAGTAATGAGCTCAAATAAGAGAAATGGAAAAAAAAACGAAAGGGCTAACATCAATTAGTTTCCCAAACTAACTACTGTACACTAATCTATTTGTCTACTTACATATGAAATTTCATTGAATGACGTCAATAAATGTGCACAGTAATTTGACGAATAACATCGCATAAGAGGCACATTGATACGACTGAAATAATGACTTTGAACTGCAATTAAAACAGCTTACAGTTGCAAACCGTACCTGACCTTTAATCGTTGATATACGACAAAACGATCATTTTACTGCCTCGATTTAACTGTTCAACAGAGTGCATTTTTTCCTACAAAAACATTGAACTTACGGTCAAATCTGACAAATACCAGATTCAGAAATTTAAATTCGCTGTCAACTGCATTCTTTGTTTTGACCTTTACAGTTTGTCCGTCAACCAAAGGTTAGCCTTAAAAAATTCGCAACTTTAAAATTGTACTTATAATTTACTTACTTAATGTGCTGAAAGTCACAAGCTAAACATAATAAAACTGCTACTTGTTATCAGTGATACCAATATATGTGTATTTGCACGATGGCTATAATAGAATTTTGAAAATGCTAAACAACTAATAAACACTACAGTGTCACACACAAAAATATCTTTCAAAAAAGCTCTTAATGGCTTAATCCATCTAAGTTCAGTAAGAACTGTATCAAAACTCAAAATATCTCTAAGAATCAAGTTTCTATTTCATTTCATGTCAGTTATTGAGCCAAAAATCGACATTTTGCAACCGACCGTAAAGTGCAAGACCGGTATCACAGCAGTTTTCCAGTCATCTTCATTCTGCCGTCAAAGCGGCTCTCCTTTATTCTGATACTTAAAAGTAATGTTGTCGCCAAGGCTAAATTTACATTCATGTACGTTAGAAAGCGGTAGAAAAAGAAGAAAAAATAGAACGAATGAACTTGCAAAAGCAAACACGTACTAACGGACAATATTTCCGACTTTCTACAGACTTTTATGCGCCCCAATACCCTCAATTGTCATTCAGCGTCAATGTCGTGCCAAACCTATTAAAAACTGTCCAGATAACAAATCTACAAGCCCACAACCAGTATCCGGCCGTGTCCACACTCGATCGACTTTTTATTCCAGCGCTCACTGTCAAAAAATGACGTCAAAATTTACTGTCCCAAAAATATCGCTAGGGCATAAAGTCGCTAATCATCTGGCAAAAGCTTCTTCACCTGAACCACAAAAAATGATGCTACCCACTGATTCCCCTTCATAAATGATCTAAATTCTACATATCACCGATAAAAAGAACTTTTTTTGGAAGAAATCACAAAGTTTTATTGTGCATATTTTATTGCAGACATCAGACATTCAGTGCACAAGAAACTATGTCGTCAAGCAAAGACAACATTCCTGAGACCATTTTACATCAAATGAAGAACTTGCTTCTTCTCCTCTAAGATCTTTTGAATCCACTCTACCTCGACAACGGTGATGTCTCTGAAGTAGAAGATAATGATAAAGAAAAGTAAAAAATGACAGATAGTCCAAAAGTGGTTCATTGTCAAAATATGTAACAAAAGATATGAGTATGACTGCCTCTTGAAAGTGAACAAGGTTTCTCCTGTGACTTCTTACTTGATGAAATTAGAAGTAAAGTGCAAAAAAAATCAAGAACACTTCGGTAGTTTCGACTTACTCATGATACTCATTAATTTTATAATCACAACGAGAAATTTACCTCGCATACAACTCCGTTGTCTTCACAAGGTCACTGAAAACAAAAGCTGTCGGCCGAGATCGAGAAAGGCAAGAAGACGGATGAATTTTTATCGCAGTAGTTGATGAAGTTACAAGTCTATAGGAGTCTGATGACCTTTCATATTCACACGCATTCATAAATAGGCCAAAAGCCAATGCTTTCCTGAATGAAAAAAGCTTCAATGAAACAAAAATAACAGGAAAAAAAGAACATCTCACCTAAGTTTGACTAACTCCCCTCCGCAAGATCGTAGATTCAAACGCTCTTTATTGCAAATTTCTCTCAGTTGACGCCGAATCCTGAACACAGTATTAAGGACTCGTTCATGTACTAAATTAGAACTGCACCACTCCTAAAATTAGTTAAATGCGCCTTCAGTTAAATAATTAAAAGAACAAGCGAATAAAATAAGTAGTAAAAATGCTCACTTTTGCTTTCTTTTCTTTTCGTGCTGCACGGTATCCTTTATAGATTTTGAGCATAGTGCAGTGATCCCCTTCCGGTGAATAAAATCTTTGATGAATTGACTGTGTATTTTCTCGGTCCACTGTTGAAGTCAGAAAAATTGAATCAGATGACATAAATGCTACGACAGTCAGCGCTTCTTCTAAACAGTCTAAACGGGAAGCTTCTACAAGCACCCTGTAATAACAGAAATAAAGCATAGAAAGTAAAAACTGTTAGAGTTCCTAAAATGTCAACCTCTGTACCCAAAAATCTCCAAAAAAAAAATGCAACGAATCATAATGAGTACCATTCTCCCTTAAGAAGGAACTCTAGTCTGTGTTAAAAAACGAAAAAAAATCTCTTCAATTCAGTTCGCAAATGGCAAAAAACTAGAAAGAATTGGAAGCATCTCCAGTATCACTGTTGAGGAAAAACAGTGATACTAAACGAACATAAAAAAATTAAATAAAATACCTTGCAAAACTGGGAGAAAGGGGAAATGCTGCAAGTCTAGTCCCCATATCCGTTAGACGAATGCGCCCCTTTTCATCGGGCGGCATAAGAGCATCGTAACATCTCAAATGATACAAAGCGTAATCAAACGCTTCTTTGGAAGGCATAGAAATCAAGTTAAGCCGATTCAAGCGGACCATTCCCATGCGATAAAGTTCTAGCAAAACCTAATGATAATGCGTCACATCATTAAAAACGATGAAATGTCCAAAGGCATGCTTGAGAATTTAGGAGAGCGCAAAAGAACGCCAAAACCATAAAAAAATACCGCTGCAAAAGTATTAATTCATCTGAAAATTCAGTTTACTCAATTACTAAAGAAGTAATATTCACAATAGGTGAGAAGAATTGATTCATATGATAAAGCTGCCAGAAAAAAGTCAGAGTTCTCTCTACAAAGTTTCAAAAGTCTAAAAAAAATTTAAAGCAAAGTAGTTTTTGCTAACACGTATAAAGATTTTACTGTAGCTAAATTTGAACGAAGAATCTCTGGCACGGTCGCTTGTGGTAACGAATTATAATGGTCCTCCGAATACAACCGGTAACATTTCCCTGGTCCTTCGCGGCCTGCTCGCCCTGCACGCTGCATAGCCGAAGCGCGTGAAATGTCCTCCAAATGTATGAGATCAATGCGACGCTCAGCTACGTAAGTTCTAGAAGCGCTCCTCGTAAAATTCGAAAAAAGGATATGATTTCGTAACAAAGTTCATATATGGGCACATAATACAACATTTGGAGAAAAAAATCCACCATGTCCGCAAAGAACTCTAAAACAACGAAAAAACAATGTGTTGAAAATACACTGTGTGCTCACCTCATCTTGACTTTCCCTGCGTCAATTACTATTCGAATACCTGGAATAGTCACTGAGGTTTCTGCAATGTTTGTTGCAATAACCACTTTTCTGCCTTCCTAAAAAAGGCTTTCTTCAAGCTAAAAAACAAATGAAAATTATTTTCAAGTAGATATAATAGCATAAAATAATATCTGCTGCTTAAAAATTAAAACAGCTAAGAATATTAGACTATTCTGATAAGCAAATATAGAAAAAAATACTTGATTTTCAAAAAAATTTAACAAAATTTAAACGTTACACCACTGCAAAGCGAACTTACACTATGTCTAAGAGGCTCAAAAACCCTCATCTGAGCCTCAGGGCTTAGTGCTGCATATAAAGGAAAAACTAGTAACTCTTTATTCAGAAGTCGAGAAGCCTCTAGTGCCTTCTTACAAGCAATTTCTATTTCATCTTGGCCAGTTAAGAAAATGAGAACACCAGAACTAAAACCAAAGCAATTACAACCATTCCAGCTCGGAAAGCAGACTTCGTGGAAGATAACCATTTCAGACAAGAGACCTCCTCAACCCTCTCTTCCCCCCCCCC